TCATTGAGGAATGATGCTCTTGCTATGGAGAGAATGCAGTGAAGGTTTACCAAATTGATTTCTGGGATTTTAAGATTTACGTATGAGGAGAGATTGATTCGGTTAGGATTGTATTCATTGGCGATTAGAAGAATGAGAGGAAATCTCACAAGAATCTATAAATTTTTAGCAGGGCTAGACAGGTTAGATGCCGGAAAGATGTACCTGATGGTGGGGAGCCCAGAATAAGCGTTAATACTCTATGGATAATGGGTAAACCTTTTAGGATGAGATGAGGAAAAATGTATTCACCCAGAGGGTGGTGAGTTTGTAGTATTCATTATGACAGAAAATGGTCAAAACATTGTGTTTTTTCAAGAAGGAGTTAGATATACCTCTTGTGGCTAAAGGGATCAGTAGATATGAATGAGGATGGAATTTAGGGTATTGAGCTTAATGATCAGTCGTGATCATGGTGACTTACAGAGCAGGCTGTTGGTATCAAATGATCTAATCCTATCTTCTATATTTCTTTGTGAAAATCCAACTGCAACCTTCTTGCCCACTCACTTAACCTGTCTGTCTCTTTGCAACCTTTTTCTATTATCCTCATAGCTTGCATTTCTGCCTAGCTTGGTACTGTCAGCAAATGTGGATACATTAATCTCAGTCCTTGAGTTTATGTCATTAATATAAGTTGTAAATAGCTGAAACCTTGATCCGAAAAGCACTCCATTAATTGTAGCCTGCCAACTTGAAAATGCCCAATTTGTGTCCTTATTGGTTCCTGTCCATTAATTAGTTTTCTAACATGCTAATATTTTATTCCTAAATCTATGAGCCTTTACCTTGTATATTAATCTTTTGTGAGGGAGTTTATCGAATGTCCTTTGGATTTCCAAGTATACTACATAAATCGGGTCTCACTTAAATGTCCCGCATCCAAAAAACTTTAATTTGTCAAACACAGTTTCCCTTTTGTAGAAGTCATGACTTTGTCCAATCATGCTATGATTTTCCATGTGCATTTTCAAGACTTCCTTCATAATAGGTTCTGATTCTGATAATTATTCTGATAACTGATATTAAATTTATTGGCCTGTAAATTCCCTGTTTCTCTCTCATTCATATTTTGAATAGTTTCTTCAGGAACCATTCTAGAACCTAACACAACTTAGAAAATAATAATCACCACATCTATGATCACCACATTTTAAAACTCTAGTATATGGATCACCAATTCTGTGAATTTGTTGGATTTTAGTCCATTGAATTGCTCCAGCACATTTTTTTCTCCATCACGATCAGCCGCCCAAATTTCTTTACTCTTTTGAGCTTAGATTGCTGCCCATTTCTGGTATGTAATTCCTGTCTTCTGTGAAGAAGATGGACTCAACAACAACATCTTTGTTATTTTCTTATACCCATGATAATTTCTCTGGCCTGTATCTGTATGGGACCAACATTTACTTTAGTTATTCTCCTCTTTTTCTTAGATTTACAAATCATCATACAACCTGGTTTTATATTTCTGGCCAGTTTACTCTTGTATTCTAGTTCTTCCCTATTTATCAACAACTTGCTGACCCTTTGTTGGTTTATGAAATAGCTTCAATCTTCAGACTTTCTAATATTCTTTACAATAATATATGACCACCACCTTTAGTATTATACTATCCTTAACTTTCTTAGAACTTTTCTTGTTGAGTTCTAGTTTTATTAATAAACATATTTTTGATTTTTTCTTTAAATTTATTTACCCTTGTTACCACAAAACCCCCTTCAAATATATCAAGGAGATAGCCTAGATCTTAACTTTTACCTTATTTAAAGGCAGGTGTAAGGTGCTATGTTCCAGGTGTAATTTGATTGGTAACACTACCTGGCTTTATGCAAAACACAGTTTGTTTTTACACCCGGTTAAAGTTCAAACTAAAGAAAGAAGAATTGGCATTACTTTAGTAATAGGATAATATATTATTTAACTGCTAAACAGCAATTGTTCCAATAGAGTAACATTCCATAAATACACCCTTGGCAAAGACATACTTGATAAAATAGATTGTCTCACTTATAATGTTTCACCAGTCCAGAAGAAAAGAACACCAAGAGAAAATTCTAGCAGAGAGAGAGAGAGAGCTCTAATTTTTTGCTGTGGCTGAGCAAGATGTCTAACAGCTTTCACAGCTAACTTGAAAAGTCTAACAACTACTGAAAGCTAAACTAAATCTCTGGTTCTGTGGGAGCTGGACTCTACTCATTCATGCTGCTTATATTGTTCTAACTTTAGAAAAATCCCAGGGCCTCACAAGATGTTTACTTTATTGGCTTGGAAGAGACAATTTATTCCCCTCTGTCTCAAAGCCTCTCTTCAAAAAAAGCCAAGACAAAATGCATCTCTCAAAGCCATAGTATCATCACATCTTATATCCCATCAATCTTAGCCAGCTGTCACTTCAAAGCAAAGTCATAGACTTTGCTAAATTTAAGATTCTTGCATGAAAATGTATTCTTTGCTGCTACCATCCAGCTGGAAATAAAACCAGAGATATTCATTTAATTCATCAACTAATTATTTGAGCATCTCTTAGATCCTAGTTATCAATGTTTGCAAAGCTACATGAAATACTGATCTATCAGCTAAATTTGGCAGTTTCAATGAGATTAATATATAGTCAGGAGCTTCCCAGGACTTTTGTACTCCTGCATTATAGCTCCTATGGTGTTTCTTAATGAAGGTACTTTCAATCCAATTGGATTTCTTTTTGGTTTGCATAGGGATTTGTTATGTTTTTGTTTACATCAGTTTCAAGTCAAAATTAATTGCTGATATTTTTATTTGTTCAGTTTTTGGTAAGAATTCCATTTCCCATGACACCTTAATCCAAACTATATAGCATGCATAGTATTTGATTTCAATGAAGAAATAAAGTTTGGTGGAGTTCTAATAGTGTATGAAAGTTGCATGTAATGTAAAACATAAAAAGATCCACAAGACAGTTTATATTTTTATCACACTGTACAATGTGCTAAACCAAAACTTTCAGTGTCTATCATCAATTCATTAGAAAAAAAAATTGCCTTCAAATATTTGTGGATGCAGGTTAAATAAGCTAAACAATTGCTGAAGCCAAAAGGAAAATGCAAGTCCAAAATAACCAACACGTAAATAAGGATGCAGCAAAAGACATTTTTCAAATTCAGGTAGCAAGTTAACAAAAATGTAAAGTTCAGTAGGTTTTAGATTTAATGTCTGTGTGTAGTGCACAATATTCCCCAGTCATTTTTGTGCATAGCTCAAGGGCAGGCTGTTTGGTACATCCTTTCTTCTTATTCAAATGTTACTTGCATTATATTTCCCTTGGCTAAGCTGGATACTTTGCATGTCACACATTCAGGATTGTATGAAGCTCAAATTAGCATAAAAGTTGAGTCTCATGAACTTCTACTCTTGCAAAACTCTTCACTGTTGTATTTTTTTCATGTGTCTCCACAACTTATTTCACTTGTCAATTGTTCTAATTCTGTTGCCTCTTCACAAACAGTTTGACAGTGATTCAACTTGTTTAGTTTTCAGAGATCTTCATCTCGCACTTGTGGATCTGCAGTGTGTAATCAACATATTAGGAACTTATCACCATACCAGCTTATTTTGCTGAAGTGTGCTCCATATTGTAGTATGACTGTTTCACATGTCTAAAGGCAATACAGGTGCCAATTCCTAAGCTTGGATATGTGCACACATATTCTTTGTTTTTCTTAGAAAAACCTCAGAGCAAAAGCAGTTTTCAAAGATTTTGTATTAATTATTTTTGGCCCTTTATCATTAAACAAATTAACCCTTTTTGTAATGCACATTACAGTCTCTCCTCCATATGTTATACTGAGCACAAATCTCTTCATCAGGAATTCATTAAGTGTATGATAATATTGTTCATGTACCAGAATTTGAAATCTCTTTCTAATCCACCATACAGCAGAAATATGGGTGAATATAATAAAAGGAGCATTCAAAAAAGGCCTATGTTCCCAGAAATACATTGTCTCAAAAGAACCTTGTGGGTTATTTTAGGGAAGGAGTTACTCATTTAGATTTTGACGAAAAGCTGCTTTATCTCAGCAGCTCACAAATATGATGAAAGCATACTCAGCACGTTCCCACAGCCTATATTTTCAAATCTTGTCCATTTTCTTTCTTTCCCTTCAGGTTTTCCCAGCCTACCAACCAGGGATAGGAGAAAGTACTATTTGAAGCTCATTATTCCTTTGTAACTTGATCCGAGCGTGCACCACAATAATCCCTTGGGAAAGAAATTGGTTCATACTCTATTATATGTTTCATTGCTCCTTGTTGCCTCCAATTAATGGCATTATTGAAATGTTGGGTCACTGAGTATTGGAATCCTGTGCTAAAATTGCATGATGTAGTAATGACAACAATGTTTATTTCACGCCAATTTCCTATGTTTGATCATTAAAGATGTACTAAAGTTGTCACTGAGATTTTAAAAACTTTGTCATCTTTTTAGATTTGTTTCAGAGTTATTACATTGAATTAGGAACTTAGTTTCGTAATTACAGTTTCAAAGATAATCATGGACTTGTTCTGATTCTCTTGAAATATGAATTTGGCAGAATGAATTTAGTGCTCCTGCACTTCCATTAGATGCGTGAACTATGCTTGAAAGGAATGCAGGATGGAGAATTAGTATTCTGTTGGAGTATGACTTCCCTCTGTGGGAACTGAAATTATATAAAAATGAAATTTTAGTTGAGAGAGTTCCAGGCAAATTATCAGTAAGGAGTTTTGAATTTAATTTGATATTATTAAAAGAACAAACATGTCCAAAAACATTTTGCTCAGTTAAGCCATCAATGATCTATTTTGTAAAACATCACCAAAGAGGCACGTTTTCATGTTTTATATTATACTAGGTCTGTCATCCAGATGAAAGAGTGTTTCTTGTTATTTTAGCATTCTGTGGTGTCAGATCCCTCATGTAATTTACACTGTGTTGTAGTACATGGTCTGTGGGAGGAATGGTCGCCTTGGAGCTTGTGCTCAGTTACCTGTGGGAGAGGATCGAGAACCAGATCTCGGATGTGCGTTGCTCCACAACATGGAGGGAAAGCGTGTCAGGGTCCAGAACTCCAAACCAAGCTCTGCAACATTGCACTCTGCCCTGGTTGGTATAAATATTTACTTCAATTGTGTATCTCTTCAGACTGTTTTTTTGAGAGTAGGAACATTTCTTACATCTCTCGGGACAGGGTTGACAGCACAAAAAAATTAAAATAAGTCTTCATGCTTATTGAATTATTACAACAAGTTATTTCATTGAAGAAGCCTTAAATTGAAACAATTTTGATTTATTTATTTCGGAAAAATATTAGAGTCTTAGAGTTATACAGCATGGAAGCAGACAGATTCGCTCTGATCAGACATCCCAATCTGATCTAGTCCCAATTGCTATATTTGGCCCATTTGCCTCCAAACTTTTCTATCCATATACCTGCAAATGTCTTTTAAATGTTATGATTATACCCACCTCCACCACTACCTCTGGCAGCTCATTCTATTCATGCACAAACCTCTCCGTGAAAAAGTTACCCCTCAGCTGCTTGTAGCCTATTCAGCCTCTCACTATAGCTCAAACCCTCCAGTTCCGGCAACATTCTTGTAAATCTTTTCTGCACCCTCTTAAGTTTAACAATATTCTTCGTAATGAAGGACGACCAGAACTGTACAGTATTCTGAAAGTGGCCTCACCAAAGTCCTGTACAGCCACAAATGACAACACAACTCTTATACTCACTGTTCTGACCAATGAAGGCAAGCATGTCAAATGCCGCCTTCACCACTCTGTCTACCTACGACTCCACTTTCAAGAAACTATGCACCTGCACCCCGTAAGTCTCTTTGTTCGGCAACACTCCCAGGGCCCTAACATTAACTGTACAAGTCCTGCCCTGGTTTGCCGTACCAAAATGCAACACCTCTACATTTTTCTAAATTAAACTCCATCTGCCACTCGTCAGCTGTTTGGCCCATCTGATCAATGTACTTAGAAATAATTGTCTTCACTGTCCACTGTACCTATTTTTGTGTCATCTGCAAATGTACTAACAATACCTCCGATATTCTCATCCAAATCATTTGTATAAATGACTAAAAGCAGTCCCAGTACTGATCCTTGCGGCACACCACTGGTCACAGGCCTCCAGTCCTAAAAACAACCCACTACCACCATGCTCTATCTTCTACCTTCAAGCCAATTTTGTACCCAATTGGCTACCTTCTCCGGATCCTATGTGATCTAACCTTACTAACCAGTCTACCATGCGGAACCTTGTTGAACGCTTTGCTGAAGTCCACATATACAACATTTACCACTCTGCCTTTGTCAATGTTTTTTGTGACCTCTTCAAAAAAACTCAATCAAGTTAGTGAGACATGATTTCCCATGCATAAAGCTATGCTGACTATCTCTAATCAGTCCTTGCCTTTCCAAATGCATATAAATCTTGTTACTCAGAATCTCCTCCAACCCAATTTATCGACCACTGACATAAGGCTCACGGGTCTTTAGTTCCCTGGCTTTTCATTATAGCTTTTTTTAAATAATGGCACCGCATTAGCTAACCTCAGATCTTCTGGCACCTCACCCGTAGCTATCGATGACACAAACATCTCAGCAAGGGGCCCAGCAATCTGTTCCCTAGCTTCCCACAAAGTTCTGGGAAACACCTGAGCAGGTCCTGGGGATTTATCCATGTTTTAAGACCTCTAGCATGTCCTCTTATGCAATATGAGTTCTTTTCAAGACAACACTATTTATTTTCCCAAGTTCCCTAGCTTCCATATTCTTCTCCACAGTAATTAATGATGCAAAATATTAATTTAGTATCTCACCCAGCACCTGTGGTTCCACACATAGACAGCCAATTTGATCTTTAAGAGGCCCTATTCTCTCCCTAGCTACTCTTTGCCCTTAATGCATTTATAGAATCTCTTTGGATTCTCCTTAACTCTATTTGCCAAAGCTATCTCGTATCCTCTTTTTGCCCTTCTGATTTCCCTCTTAAGTGTACTCCTACTGCCCTTATACTCTTCTAGGATATTCACTTGATCCGAGCTGTATATATCTGATAAATACCTTTTTTTATTTCTTTACCAGAGCCTCAATTTCCTTAGTCATCCAGCATTCTCTACAACTACCAGTCTTGCCCTTCACACTAGCAGGAACATACTGTCTCTGAACTCTCGTTTTCTCATTCTTAAAGGCCTCCCTCTTCCCAACCATCCCTTTACCTGCAAATAGGCCTCCCCCAATTCACTTTTGAAAGTTCTTGTCTAATACCATCAAATTTGGCCTTACTCCAATTTAGAACTTTAACTTTTTAATCAATTCTGTCCTTTTTCATAATTATTTTAAAACTAATAGAATTATGATCACTTGCCCCAAAGTGCTGCCCCACTGATACCTTAGTCATTTGCCCTGCCTTATTTCCCAACAGGTCAAGCATTGCTTCTTCTCTATTAAGTAACCCATATGTTGAATAAAAGTGTCTTCTTGTACACACTTAATAAATTCCTTCTCATGCAAGCCGTTAACACTCTGACAGTTCCAGTCTATGTTTGGAAAGTTAAAATCCCCTACTATTATGACCTTATTCAAATATTTCTTATTAACTTTACTGTCTTTTAAAAGTGAGATGAAATTGCAAAACACTTTCTGTTATCTGAACTAAGCTGACATTGTTGAACCCATTTGACATCCCTTTGAGAGTGGTATCCTTTATAACCTCTTTCTAAAAATGACTTGAACGCCAATCTGCAAACTGTTTATTGATTTTATTAACGTGTTTGATGAAATATTTTCTCAATACATTTTTAGGAGTGAAGTTGCCTTACCATTTGATATATTTTAAAATTGTTATTCATTTCTTAATAATGATCTTCTTGAATAGGCTAGGTAATTTTTACCTCTTCCAGTGAATATATTGGATCTTCTTTGTATTAAAGAGGGAGCGAAACACAGAAACTGCTAGAAATAGCAGACTGACTGTGCAACATTCCTGGGGAGATAAAAAAAATGTGCTAACATTTCACTTTGATGACCTTTCATCAGAAATGAAAATAGTAAGGATGTATTAGGGTTTAAGCATGCGTAAAGCTAGTGACTGAAGGTGGGGAGAATGAGGATGTTGATATTGTTGTGCTAGTGGTGCTTACAGCTTCTCCAGATCCATTTTTTACTTCTAAACTTTTCTTATTATCATCCCCTTTCAGTTGCACATTTATCCCTCTTGTTCTTGAATCCCTTCTTCTTCCACTTTATCACAAAGCTTCACTTTTGTTCTTCCCTCGATCCTCCTCATTCCTTTCCTTGCCTCTGTCGTTGCTTAAACATTATTACATCTCTAAATTCTTCCAGTTCTGATGTCAACATCTCTTTCTCTGCCCTCAGCTGTTGCCAGGTCTGTTATGCATTTCCAGTATTCACTGTTCTAATTTCTGATTACCAATGTTTGAAATGTTTCACTTTTGTTTATTTGAACAATGTTTTACTTGAGAGCTGGTTTTAATCCTTTCCACCACTCATTAACAGCAACTTCTATTGCATTTGTTCAGTTTGTAATTAATGTGATGCTGTGTGTTGGTTTACAAGTTAGTGTATTTCAATGCTTTTTGATTTCAGTGATTTCTTCCTTTGTAAATTATTGTTCGTTAAAACTTAGTAGTTCATTTTTATTTATGCCACAAAAAACATTTGAATAGAAAAGTTTCGTTGATTGTAACCTCAAAAAATCTGTAATTCGTAAAATAAAAGATGATAATATATGTGTGTATATATAAGACGATAAATGAAGTCCGAGCTCGGAATTTGGTATCTAATTATACACTATAGATCAGGGCAACAGAGCTGTGAAATTTCTTGGTGGCTTATTGTTTTTATAAACTGGTTTTATAAACGATAACTGGAATATTTATGATCTTTTCTGCATGTTCGATTTACAGCACACCTCAATCATTGGTGCTCTACTTTTACCTTCTCTTAATAATGAGATTATTTGTGAATAATAGAACATCATCAGTACTTTTTTCCTTCACTCATCTCCATTGTTCTGTAACTGTACAAGCTGGCCTTACCAGGAAAACAACAGGGGAATCTTACTAGACTCAACCAAATTGAGCGAAACTGAGCATACTCTTTGATATCAGTAATTTAATTTTGTTCAAGTCCCCCCCACCAACCAATCTGGCATTTTCCACTACTCACAGGTACTCCTCTCAATTGCACCAGATAATCAAGGTTCAACCTTAACACTGTTTTTTATTGTGGGTTTTTATTTTATGCAAATGACAGTAGCAATTAATTACCTTATTCTTAGGCCTTGAGAAGGTGGTGGTGGTGGGCGTCTTCCTGAATCACTGCAGCCACTAGTGATAGTGCTTTCATGACATTGTTAAGTGAATTCCTACTCAGTGTTGCTGAACGGGCAGCAATATAATTCCAAGTGAGGTCATATGAACCCATTATATTCCTCCTCTTGTTGATTTTAGTTTCTGGGATTGAGTTTGATCTGAAGTTGCTGCTTGATATATACTACATTTCCTGATGTAAACAAGAAAGTGAAACAGCTCCACTGATGGATAAATGTACTGTCTGTTGCAATGCAGAATGAAACAGATCAGAAAAAATATTGTTTCAGCCCATGGTCTATGCTTGTTATCAATTTTAGACAGAATAGTAAGTATAGCTTTAATTTCTGCCAGACATGCTAGTGAAAAAAATGTTTAAGTTCTATGTCTAGTAACTTCTGATTACAGTAGCACTTAAATGAATGCTGTCAAAGGTTAGGATTGAATTCGCCTTCAGTTCCTGGTGAATGATCTGATATAATAGTATAAAACAGAACATCATCATCATAGCTCTTTGGACAACAGGAGTCTAAATGGATCAAATGAGAAAAGGGATCCAGGGGTACATTTGGCAGCAGTGGTGGATCTCCCATGATTTGATAATGATGCCAACTCAGGGTTATTTTTGAATTGGAGAATGTCAATGGAGTCAATGATAAAAGGGATCTAAGGGAGCAAACTCTGATTATTATCAGTAGCAAATTATCCAGATAATTTCTATTGCAAAAGAATTAAAAGGTGAGAAGTTATATTGATGCC